CAAGATTTTCCATAATACAGAAGTAGTTGCTTAATTAGGAAGACTGCAACAAAAGGTGGGATTAAGCATTGTCATCCTGTTAACCAACAGATTACAGCACCAAGAGATGTGATCCTGCTCTCTTCATTACATTATTTTATACTGTACCCATCAACCAAAGTCCAGAGCAATCAGGAAGCCATCAGTTTGTACTTTCCAAAAAGCTGGATAAAAGGGCCTTCTCAAGTCAATGTGGTCATTAGTAATGAATACAGGGTTGTCTTGTACAAAGACATTTCTTGGGGATGTTAGATACTTCTAATGCTGGATTTGGTATAAATATTCTAACCTGCAGTTTTCTAGGTTGTCGTTGGGTTTTTTGTTTGTTTGTGGGTGGTTTGTTGTGGTTTTTTGGGGGGTTGGAGTTGGGTTTTGGTTTTGGGGTTTTTTTTTTTTCTTTTTTTTTAAACTGTATTTTTATCAGTCAAGTATGTTTCTGCTTGCAATACATCTATCTATGACTGAAAAAAAACACCAAACCCAAACAATTCAGAACTTGAAGAAAGTCAGTTTTTCCCCCTGTTAAGACTTCTCAGTTCTTCACCAGCGCTTCCTGACATTTGATACAATAAGCAGAAGCATCTGTCCACCCCATCTGTACACAAGTATGGCATATAAGGTCCAACACACAGTTTGCAAAGAAATGCTGATTTTTACCACAGTAAACAGAGACAAGAGTTCCTCCAGATGAGCTTATCTTTCTTCCCCCGAGAGCAGAAGCCTAGCAAAGCTAGCCAACAAAATTAGATACATGAATTGTATAAACAGTCCCTAAGATTCAATTTCTTTTAGCTCATGCTCAAGAAAATCCAGCTCTGAGGTAATGTGTGTAAGCAGATACCAATTAGCCTTTTGTAAGATTGTTTAAAGTCTGTGTAGCCTACACCCTCTCCTTTTTAGTACACAAAAATCAAAGTTTATATTCACTTTTGAGTAAGACCAACTTTGTCACACCACAGAGCAAAGTCATAGCTAGACTCCTCTCTTCCCTCTCCTTGTTCTACATGTGTAACAAGTCACAAAGTCTTACAAATCCCCAAAAGACTGATGTCTCAAACTAAAGAGAAAAATAATTTCACTGAAACTGGACTTCAAGATGTAGCAGAGTTTGTGTGATGTGGGAACAGAAACATGTTCAAGTAGTCTGTTTTCCCAATCAACACAAATAGCTGGTATTGTGATTTTGAATATGCACACTGACCTCCCAATCTAAATCACATCTTTGTGAGTGTTGCTTAATAATATGAACTAGAAAGTATTTGCCTCAGCTTCTTTAAATAAACTAGCTAACAAAAAGCAGTTCATCCTGTTGTGTCACTGATAAAAAGTAGCAACAGAAAGCATCAGTGTTTGTCACTTTTACAGCCTACAGCTCTGATTAAAAAAACAAAAATAGTCACTTGTCCTGAATTTGCAGAATGTATACATAGATTGAGGAAGCACTACTGTTTGTACAATAACTTAATCTGCAGATGGCCAGTGGTTTAATAGGTTAACTTTTTTTTGGATATTATTATTATTTTAAATAGTTTACATGATAAACATATGACCATTTGTAGCAGTGAAACAAGGTATTTCACTTTCATATCACTGATATACACAGGCCAGAAAACCAAGTTTTCAGCTATTTCCAGATTCAGATCCAATACTTGGTCCCAGGCAGTAGAGCAGCTTTACTTACTTTACAATGCCCAGTTAAAACCTCCTCCCAGTACCTTTTTTTCCTCAAAAGCGACAGGATCAGCTTTTGGTTTGCATCAAGTGAATCACTTCTCCCTTTGTTCCACTGTGGTGGCATATCTGCAGCTCTATTACTTTTTCAGATCCTGTATCAAAAGGAGTCTATGAAATACAGCACTTCATCAGTCTCCTTACTGAAGATCAAATTTCAGTTGCATAATAAACAATGACTCTGCATTACATAATGGGGCCTTCATGCATGATATGGCTAAACTGAAACTTTGGGGGGAAAAAAAAAAAAAGATACATCATTATCTGCCCTTGCCTGGACATAGAGAAAATTTGTCTCAGAAAATAAGGAAACTATATAAATAATCCAAAAATCAATGGGAAAAAAGTTTTCAAAAGATTTAAAAGTCAAACCAGTATCTTTTTAACCCTTAAGATGATTCCTAGTTAACATACGCAATTTTTACAATAATAGCTCCTATCCTGTGCAGAAAATCAGGCTATGTGAGGGGATCACAACAGTCCATTTCGGACAGGATAACAATGAAATATTAACGATATCAAAATTCAGTTTTATGCAGCATTTAAAGGCTTTTGAAGCAGAAAAAATAACTGCTTTCAGCCTGGAAGGTTTTATTAAAAGGTCCCCAGCTCCATTGTATTCTGTTATTATTTAAGAAAAATATTGTCAGCATTACTTGTAGCTTCAGTGCTTGGTCCAACAGAAGGCAGACACGGGCAACTCTTTCCTTTTCCTCATCTCTACAAAATCAATGGCTATTTTTACTCCTCAATTAACACCTGTAAATAGAAAGTTTATATATGCAGTACTTAAGTTTCAGAACATCTAAGAATTTGCTGCTTATACCACCTTCAAATTTTTATGTACTCAGAAACTCCTTAATAAGCGACTACAGTAATGTATCCCACAAGTCTGTATGAGTTGACAAATAATTTTGATAAACACATAAACAACATGTAGCATGCTAACAATTTTAATACCATCTGGCTGCTTAGAATTCTATGTACTCTTAGGTCTAACATTACTTCAGTCCATCATTCACTTGTTTCCTAAAAAGAATTAGTAAAAATGTAAGGTTTTTTGTTCCTACTGGTTCTATGTGAAAAAAAACCAGTATGCAGCCCAACATCAATCTTTTCTTCATTTATAATAGCCGCACAGCTACCCTCGCTTCAGCTATTTAGCCATCCTGTTATGAAACAGCTGCTATTAGTGAAAGAAGTCCAAACTGGCAGCATTCACAGACCACTGGGAATACAGAGCATTTTAAGGAGATGTTTCTACAACTCACAGACAATACCCTCTGATTCATTTCACTTAGTTTTTTCAAGACCCTACCTTAAAGCCTCCTATCAGGATTATGATTCTTAAGCCTCAGTATCAGAAAGTCTGGCTTTTCTCTGGATTTTCCCATGGAGAACTTCCTGTTCCTCTAGACTAATCCACCCTTCTTAAAACATTTTTTTCCCAGTCTTTTACTGCTGCTGAATCCGATTCAAAAGGGGCCCATCTGCTCCAGCTACATCATCAGGAGAGTTCTGCACTTTCACACAGCTGCTGAGGTTTCTGTCCCCATGCAGAAGCTGGAATTGCTCCACCCACCCCCTTCGCACAAAAATGACGTAAAGGAACCGATGGATCCAAAAAACTTTTGTGTGATCATTTCTATACTGACTCTATTTCTATAATGTAAACTCTCTTTTTCTCACATTTTGAAGGGTCTGAATTTGCACCATTAAGACTCGAGAGCACAATTTTCCAATGGAAAGAAAAAAAAAAATCCTATCAAATACACTAATCTTCCTGTAAATTCCATGAAGCAGTTCAAAAAGCCTGGAGGGGCAATTGTTTCTATTAAATTCTATCAACTGCTGGAGCAGATTCTTCAGGACTTTTAACATTTCCTTAGAATTTAAGTGACTTAACCTCCATTAAATTCTGTAAAGACTGAAAAGCAACTACCTGCAAGTATGCTTTAGAAGATCAAGTGTAACATAAACCAAATTGAATATTACATTTAACAGTATGCATGCCATTGTTAACCTGTAACATGCTCTGAAAATGGATTCTCTCTGACAACTTAGATGCACCAGCTTGACCTGAATGCAAGTAGACTGTATATTCCAAAATACCTATGACCACCTGACTCCTGTTACTTATTCAGGGCTATTTTCAGGGCATAGAAACTTACAAAACTGTATTTGCATCTCTGCTTTGCCAGAGAGTCTTGTCCAGGTAAAGTTTAAAAATAAACTTAGTTTTGAGCCATAAAAACCCTTGCAGGAAGTTTTCTTTGGTTATGAACATTCCTTTTTTATAAATGAGCTTAAGTAAAATAAGATCAATTTGAATTGAGCAAAAGAATGCACAAAGGTTCTGGATTGGTTTAGTTAAGATACAATCAAACTATAAAATCAAGTTTAAATGGCACAGCTTTCTACCCACATATGAACACTAGCCATGGGAATCAGCTGGACTTGCTAACAGTTCCTAAATTCAATTTCTGGGCAGAAGCTGGCGAGATGTTTACTGTGTAAGTTATTGTGCTAAGGAATGTGTTTTTTCTACCCATTCACAGTTGATTTTGGGGGCAAGCTGCGTCTCATCTCTTCACGCAGCGTTAATGAAAAGTCTTTTCTTTGCACACAGTACTTCTTTACAGTATCTGTGAAGGGCAAAAGTGAAGAATTTGTTTTTATTGACAACAAATATGAAATTTTCACACAGTCACAGAAATGAATTACAACTGAATAGTAGTCATCAGTTTCCTTATCAAATGCAATGCATGCAATTTTAGCTCATTTGATCTTGGCAAACCTCAAAAATTAGTCATTTAGTAATCAAGAAACAAAAGAAATTCTATTACTAACATATCTTAACAAATATAAAGCTTAAGTGAGTATACCTCGAATTCACACAAACTAATACAAATGAAATTAATGAAAAACACCCAAAATAAAGTTTGGGCAATTTGTTCAGTTGAGAATTAGGCCCATTAAATGTTGATATACTGATGGCATTGATGTGAAAACATGTTATATAATATCACAAATTAAACAACAATAATAAGTCTTCATCAAGTTCAGGGTGTAAAAATAATTTATTAGCTTTTGCTCATAAAAAAATCAGCTACTATTCTTGATTTTGTTTTTTAAACAGCAGCAAACAGTCAAAAAGGTGACAACTGAAAAGTATTCAATAAAAAAAAAAATAAGGCAAGCAGAGTGTAAATTTGTTCTTTAAAAATTAATGCTGTAGCACTACAGAAGCAAGGGTAGCAGAAAAAAATAAACAAGAACTTAGTAAAACATGACAATCACCAAGTTACTTCTATGCTATCTCATCACTTTAGCCAAGGAAGCATTGTTAAAGCTGTAAGCAAGTAAACTTTTATCTCAAAACTATCAAGAGTTAATTAAGATTTAAAGGCATCCCTTTGGGGGTGTGGGGAGGTAAATTATGCCATAGTGATGGTAATTTTATGTTCTATTGTTTTAAGCTTGTAAAACATCACAGAATACTGAAAGCAAAAGCTTGCAAGACAACAAGCCTCGACTCTACTCTTTTTGATCAGTGATCCGCTGTAAGCAGAGTTTCATGTAGGAATTTTTATTGCGTATTTCTATCACTGCATCTCTGACAAGCTCAATGAACATTTGAGGCCAGAGCTTCTGCAACGACTCATTTTTCATATTGATGTCAGCTGCTTCTTTCACCAAGTTCTCGACGTACGTCTGGCAAAATGTTTTTCTTTCCTTGATTTCCTGCATGGGAGAACCATTACACATTGTATAAGACAAAGGAAGAAAAGGCTAAACAAGAGCAAACCCAAAGAACAACCACAAAAATGTAATTAATTAAATAACATAGCGATTAGCAGGCAAAAGGGCCATTGCATACTTTTTCCTGTTGTTTTTTGGTTGCATGGCCCAGGGTGTAAGTCAAGCTTTTAAGGGTGTGGCCACAGAATCTGATTGTATTCATCATATTCATATTATATTCATTAATTAATTTATCTGAAATCCACTTTAAAGTAGTCATATAGGTATCTTTTAACAGCATTATGATTTTTGTTGCCTTCTGGCATAGCAGTGAAAATTTTCAGAAATCATTAAGCACCAGACTACTTTCCTTCCTTCTCTCCCTTCCCTTCCTAGCTTTTCACGATTATAGGACAACAGTTGGAAAGTATATGTTTATCTACCTGTCCTCACAAGACCTAAGCACATAGTCACAGAAAAATATGCCAGTATGCATCCTTTCCACAGGTTCCCTGATGGACTCTGGCAAGTGCATGGTTCCTAACACATACTACATTAGATACTGAAGTAACCCGAACCTTTAAAAAAAATTTTTAAAAAATACTGCACTTTGTGCAACTACTAGTTCTGCATTTTAGTCACTCAAACTGTATTAATCCCTGTTTCCGCAGAGTTTCTATAAAATGCTATAATAAGCTTTGAACAATAAGTTATATTGGCGCTAAATATCTAACTAGTTTGATTTATGGCACTGTTAAAAATGTTAGGTCATGCTTCAGGCCATCAAAACAGAAGTTTTCTTAAATGAGTGATAAAGCAGAGAAAATACTTCCCAGCTGTTTCATCTAAAAAACCAAATTATTAATCAATGACTCAGTCTGTCATCTTTAGCAATAAACTTATTCAATTACATTTATTACATTAGTTTACTGCTGATGGGGAACTGGAATCAGTCCTTTTTGCCTATCTCCTCTTGTGACATCCTGTAATATCTGCTGCCGCATACATAACACTGGAACATAGGACAAGGTGTGAATTGCTACACTGGGAAGAGAAAACAATGCATATATTTAATGGACTGTACAAATACCAAGCTGATTTTATTATAGTGCTTGTTCCATGGTAAAGGACAAGAGGAATGCCTCACTGTCTTACCCTATGCCATTCAAAGTTTTAAGAGCTACTATCACAGCTTTTGAAACTAAAATGTTTTCTTAATTTAATCTTCCCACACATGCAGTCACTGTCTCTTTTATGCTACGGATCTGAGGTAACAAAACTACAATGCAATAACCGAATTCAGTGCTTACTGAACTTGATTTAATTTCTTGCACTAGAGGATTTATATATTTCCACATAATCAAAAAGCAAATAACAGGACAAATGTGGGAAGCAGGGTGCATATAGCTAGAACTCATGCTGATTGCTCAGAAAGGAGATAGAGGCTGAAAGAAGCATGTTCTTCCTGGGAACAATTTCCCTCTGCCCAAGCAAAAGAGTTAGCAGATCAGAAACACAAACTAAAACAAGCGTGACACATGCACTTGTCTGAAACAAGCCAGCTTGCAGTTTTATTAATAAGTAAACCTAATACATTTCCTATATATTTATTTTCCTGTAGCTCATTTAAAAGCTAGGAAACAGCTCTTTATTACTACAGCCCGCACTACCTCAAATCTTTTCTGAAGATATTCTTCACCAATATATTTTGGGATACATTTTCTGACTTTCTACTTCCATTAGAAAATCCTAACATGTACAATATACATTTTTCTTTGTAAAAAACTGTGCTCACTTCTTATATTTTACTCATGCAGGTACATTTCATTACGAACATAAGGCTTGTAGGTTAACATGTATTCCTGAGACTGTGGCACTGTTCAGGAAACACTTCACCAAAGACAGGAACTGACACTTTCCAGTATTCTGGCAAAGATCAGTTTGATTAAATGTTTGATCATACATGTAAATATGGTAACCACTGATATTTTAAAACCACCATTCTCAATAACACAACTGAAAATTGATATATAGACAAATTCCATGAGTAGTAGTCTAATGTTATATAATAGAGGATGGAAGTATTTTGCAATGATATACTTACCTCAAGTTTTTCCATATGAAAGTCCTTTGTCATGTAATTCAGTGTTGCTCGAGTTGTGCTTTCTCCTCCATTTCTTCTGTTATCACTACTTTCCTCACTTCCAGTCCCAGATTTCTTTCCCTTTCCCTCCAGCAGACAATGGAATTGCTTCCTCCTGTGAGAAGATAATAAAGAAATTTACAGTTTTAATTACTGGAAACTTTCTTTTTTTTAAAGTGCAGATGTTTCTAGTGATTGTGAGGTTTTGTTTTTTTTTTTTCTTTTCTCTCTTTGAACATGTACTTTATGAGCTTTCAAGTTTATTGCATCCTCTGGTTACTCAAAATACAGATGACTCTAGATATTCCTCTGTTAAATTTGCTTCTATACAATTGACTTTTTGCATATAACACATTGCATCTCCTAAATAGGAAGTCTTGCAGCTTAAACATTTACTAAGTGTGTATCTATAGAAGACTAAAAATAGTCTTTTTAAGCACCTTTTTCTTACAGCACTTAAATCTGTTAACTGTTTAGTTACCCACCATAAAATACCCACTAAAAATAGTCAGTCTTCATTGTGAAAGTCCATAAATCTTCACCAATATCAGTACAATCGGAAAATTTAACAAGCAGTGCATTTGTGTGCATGCACCTTTTAATCTTACTCAGCAGACTTCATACAACTTCTGTGAAAACCTGTCTATGTGAATCAGGAGATGCTAATATTTCTGCAATAAGCAGATAACCTATCTTCTGTAGGATGTTGTTTGTGAAATATTTATCTTTTTACCTAGAAACAATTTATCATGACACCACACAAAAGAATTAAACAATATGTTCCGGACAAATTCTAGTTCTGTTCGTTGCATTTTACCTAGATTCTCCAAATAATGAAAGCATGCGATAATGTGGCAGCTCAGAAGATGCTACATATGCCAGAATGCCAAAGAGCCTTTCCGCCATTACAATATCATTTTCAGTAACCTGTGAGGGAATGGGGAGAAGGGGAACAAAAATTCAAAATTGGCACATTCATATTTCATTACGTATGTACATTAAGAATTAACTGAAATTTGTTATACAGAACACTGCATACAGATCTCTTCTAGGCATACCTTCAAAACGTAGATTTGCTTTTACTGGCACTTTAAATGTACTTTAAAAGAAACCAAATGAGGTACTTGTGCTTGTTTTATTTCCTGTAATTCTGGAAACTTTAATGTATACACATGCTACCCTGTGCTCCATGATATTCTTCATGAAAAGAGGAATTTTATAATGATTTCTTACATTGAGTATCTGAAGGCCAGACATATTAATCCTGCTTCATACTGCATGCACTTACAGAAGGTCTACTGGAAAATTTCTGATCAAGTTATGCTGCAGAAATGAAAAGATTCTGAGCACCCAGATGTGAAAAGATAAGTTACTGTCTCTCTTATTTTGGCAGCATCATAGAGAAGACTTTATAGAAAGACAGGCTTTAGAGAAGGTGAGGAGGGGGAAGACAATTATTCTCTTTGCATTTTTCACCCCCCAAAAATAAGTGTCCCTCCATTATACTCCTCTACATATCATCCATTCTGTTGTGTCAACATTAAGTTACAGATGTCTCTTTAAAGTAATTTTCAATGTTTGAAAAATTTTCAGGATTGATTTTACACATTTCAATTTTGTATAAAGAAGGCAGAAGGGGGTTATTTTTTGGTGGTGGTCGTTACTGGTTTTTGTTTGTCTTGGCTCATAACCTCTGGAGACCATGGCCTGTGTTTCTCCTGCCCTGATGGCCAGACTATGAACTGACTTCAACTGCCAAAAGTTTGTTGGCACAGTTTCTAGACTCCTGCCTTTCTACTGAGTGCAGAAGGAATCTTTATGATCATCTAAATCTGACCTGGATAACACAGGACAATGAAACTCACTCAGTGACTTCTTAACTTCTGGATCAAATTTGATTTCCGTTCATCTGGTAACATATTTTTGGAAAGCAACCCATTGTTAAACAAACTTCAATACTCACAGTACTTACTAAGTACTTCCAGATAATTTTTGTGTTCTGTATTATTCAAATGTGTGCATGAAATGGAATTTTGATCCAAATTAATGTAATTCTATTATAGTCATCTTTAATGTTTATAGACTATACAATGTACCCTTGCCTAAAGTACACTGCAACAGGATAATGCAGGGAGAAATTCTCCAGAGAAAACATAATTCAGGAAATTAGAAATGTAAGGTCAATTCTATTTTCACAGTGCTTAGATTTGCTCATTTTCATTTAAAATTAAATAAGTCTTACTTAGTAGCCTAAGACTAGATGACCTCGCTAAACAGTCTGTTAACAGAAACAAGGTCTAAAACAAAGAGTGCAGAACGCAGCTAGGGATACAAAGACCACTGCAGGCAGAAATGCCTGCTGGAGAAATAAGTGGTTTTAATTTATTTATTTATGTTAAGAGGAGCATAAGGACCAGGTCAACAGAGACAGCCTGAACACTCTCTAGTTCACAGAAACTCATGTTCTCTCTCTTACTCCAGTACATTGTTTGCTCCATTAATCACAAAAAGATTATAACGGTAATATCACATAAATGTAAGTCTGTTATGCCTGCTTGTTGCCAAGTACAGAAAACAGGCACCAATTCAGCAAATGTGATGCATCTGTTATATTGTATGCCGTACCACTTGGCGTAAAGCATTTTGTAAAGTTTAGTAACTTCAAACCTTGACAACTCTTAATTAAATCTGAGATTACTATCACTGGGAAAGACTTCAAATAGTGTATCTCAACGAAGAGAATTTGGTTTTTCCACAGTTGGTAAATGTAACAGTTTGACAAGGGAACATCATCATTGTTGGGGGAGACTAACACTCAGCTTCTAGCCTGGAACATAACTGAAATGAAAGGGGGAGGGTGGGGAGAAAATAAAAGCTTCCTTACTTTTTTTTTTTTTTGAGTGCTAGAGTTATGCAATTTATTTAGTTAATTCAGTTAGTATATATTGCTTTTACTCTCCAACTAGATGTACCTCAGAGCTGGCAACGCAATAGTCTTCACAAACATCACACACAAATGATAATCAGAATAGCAGAATATGCACATTTCCCTTTCTGTCATCCGAATCCATTATTTAGGGCTGATCTGAAAGCACACTTCAGGGGTTTGTATTCTTTACATTGAAACAGGATTTTCTATTACTGATTTTAAAAGAAAAGGTAATATGTATCTGCAAAGCCAGATACCATGACTTCTGCTGTAGACTAATGAAAAACAGCAATCAGAGTTCACCTCTTTCTTCTGCTCAGCTATGACACTTTTCAAATGATTAATGACACTAGGAAAAAATTTCTTTGTGCACATCTTCATATAGTGTGGCCTGGCTGAAAAAGTTTGTTGAGAACAAAAATGTTCTTCAGTCATACGTATTTAACGCTTTATATATGTCCTACATAAAAAGCATGCCATGCTACATGCAAATCCATTTACTAAATTCATCCCCAAACACTATTAAATTCAAATTTTTCCTTCAAAGACTGAACTTGCTGACCTTGAGATCGTAACAAAAAGTCTACTTAAATAGTTGCATTATTTTCTTTTTTTCTTTCTCCATGAAGACCAAACAAGCAAGATTTATCTCCTATTTTCTTTTAATCTGAATCACTAGCACTGATTTTGAAAATATGATGCAGTAAAAAAGAAATAAACTTTAAACCCACATTCAACCTTTCCCCCCACCCCTTTTTTTTAAAATCAACTTTCATGGGCATGTTTCATAAAGTACTAAATTCAAGGTTATTTTAAAGTTCTCATGGGATTACTGACTATCACTTCCCCCCCCGCCCAGCTTTTTCAAGGTACTGTGCTGTTGGAGTGAGACATATTTGCCTTCATCTCCTCTCATCCTTTCTCTACTAGTTAATTCAGGTAAGCTCTTTAACTCATTCCCGCTCTTCTGTGCAACTAATGCATGTTTTACAGAACTAAAACCAAGTAAACCACAACATTCATGCTATGGCTGTATCAGGTAACAAGTAAAATATCTAATCCAACACACATGATGATGACCAATTAAAACACCAGATCTAAACACTAAAGCTATGTATTATTTTTGCTCTAATTAATTTCCATAACACCACTTAAACTTACTTGGCATTTAAAATGGAATGCACATTCAAACATTGTTTGGCATTGTAACTATTCTTGCTCCCTTTATGATCAAAGCCCAAGTATAAAATAACCATTTTATATGCATGAATAAATTTACTTTCAATTGATGTAAAGGGAAATAAAAAGAATAGCAATATTAGTGTCCTAACTTTCTATTTATATAAACATAAACCACACACCCAACAAAAAAACATACGCTAACAATCTTGTACACAGCAAGCAGGGAAAAAAAAAAAAAGACAGACTTTTTCATGTGATAGGCTTAAAGAAGAAAATACGATTTTAGCTATATTTTGTAGCACTGGAAAATATAAATAATCATATACTATAAACTACTAGGTCTGTCAAACATTTTTGCACAAATATTCAATGTCAGCACTGTGATTGTTTTGAACATAGTAAAGTGCTTCTTAAAAATCAAGTAAAATCATGCAGTTTTTATTTTTTTTTTTTTTTAATTAGAAACACACGCAGAAATAATAAGAAAAAGTGTCTTCCCTTCAGTTATATCCCTACCACTCAGGTATAGATTTGGACTGTCATTTGCAATTGCAAAGATCTGAGAAAATACAACATTTTTATGGCAACTAAGAATCTTATCAACTTTGCTAATTGTAACACTGTGCAGTTAGACTTAACAAATGCAGAGCACAAGAAATTATATAGTGAAGTCTACTTAATTTTTTTTCCCCCTAATACTGAAAGGACACTGACAGGGTCCTGCTCATTTTAATAGCAATTCATTTGCTTTTTTTAAAAAAAAAAAAGAAAAGCTAATTTTTCTTCTAAGACCAATAGTAAGAAGGAAGCAACACTGTCCTACCTTTACTCCATTTATCTTCTGTAGATTAAAATGATTCAGTCTAAACAGAACATAGTATTTCCACAAAGTAAAGTTGACAACCGGATTTCCCTGAGGATCAACTGTCAACTGTTCAATATGATGCATCTGGGCTAATGCATTGAACTGCTGCAGTGTCACAAGATTTGTCTCCTTAAACTTCAGGTGCTTAAAAAAAGTCAAACCACAGTAAGTTAAATAAGGAAACAATAAAGAGTGAACACAATGGTTCCTAATCTGTGCTACTCAAACAATTTTCCAACTCAAACAAACAGTCTTTAGGTCTGATGAAGCAACTGAGCTCACTTCATTTGAGGTCTTTGTGGGAAAACTTATCAATGTATAAACCAATTGGTGTATTACATACATTCAGAAAGATCAACATTACAAGATCCTAAGCAATTTATAAACCCTTTAGTAACAGCACTAATATTTTCAATGTTACAAAAAGCAGTGATACTACTTGAGCAACATTTATTTTAATTCTGCAAGTAAAGCAACTGCACATAAAAATAAGTACAATATGTATTTTTAAATATTCTACTTTTTTGGTCATAGGAGGCTGGCATTAAGTCATACCCTCCTGTTTCTTTGAACCATGCCCTATGCCAGTGCTCCTATGAGCATGGTACATTTGGCTACACAGTAGCATTACTGAGGGAAGGAGGAAAAATTGATGGTGAAGATAAAAATTTAGTTGAGATTCTGCTATCCCCCACAAGTTTTTCCCCCCACAATGAAACAATTATTTCACTGAGATAGGTAAATTTGTCTTAAGTTGCCCACAAATTTATCTATCTCAATGAAACCATTAAGTTCTGTTATACTCAAAACCTTAAAAAGAAGCAGGGAGCTCCAGAGGCATATCATCTGAATAAGAAGTAGCTTTATGCATGTCATCATTATTTTACTATTTACTTCAGAATGACTGATTTAAACGTTCAGGAAAAAAAGAAAGAAGTACCAAAGGGACATCTCATTTATATTGTCTTGCTTCATCACGAACTGAGGAATTCCAAATCAGTGGTACTGATTTAGCTAGCTATTCCCTTTGAATTTTACCTCTTTTTATCCTACCAGCTATCTGATCTTTGAAGTCACAACACAAATGAAGGTCTCCTGATACCATCAATCTGTAACAATACTGTAGAATAGCAATACTGTATTTACACATCAGTTTTGCAACTTAAAAATAATCAGCTAGGTCAAAGGAATTAAGAGAAATAATAACCAGTCTGAAAAGAAAACACAATCCTGTGTAAGAATCTAAATTAAAGTTTTGATTTTTAAGAAGTATCAAGTTACAGTTAGTGTTATAGGACAACACCAAGCAAATATGTAATTCACAAATTATCTATTTATATGAAGGCACTCAAGGGTTACTATGCCAAATTAAGGTTCTATTAGGGAATAGATATTCCATAGCTGTTCACACAGCTGAAATTTGAGGCATTCTTACCACAGAATTAGGAAATTTTGTCTTCAGTTTTGTTAACACTTGAACAATTTCATCAAATTCTATGAACATAAAGGAGACTGTGACAATAATTCCAGCTGTTTGAACACTCCAGTTTCGATCCAGGCACTCCAGAGCTCCAGCACCATACAAGCAAAGAGTGTCTCCTTCCACTTCCACTAAATGAGACTCAAGAACAGACAAGCCTTGTACTGCACTGCTCAATATGGTATCAAGAGACCTGTGGAGGAAATAAAAATGTAGTGATATAAATGAGATTATTTTGAGATAGTAACATCATGCTATTGAATGACAGTCCTTTCATTCACCAAAACCTAACTGTCAAATATGATTGCATTTCTCAGCATGCATTCATTCATTTGCAGTACCCAATCTGGTTCAAAACCAAAATCCTCTATCAACACTGCAAACGTTCTACCACTTTGGCAGAAAGGCTCTGGGTGCATTTCAGCGGGGGGGGGGGGGGCATTAAGAAATCACTGATATTTAATAACCTGCTTAAAATTTTAACTCAGAATGCTAACTTAACATAGTTTGTATTGCTTTAGATATCTAAAGCCAACTTCAAACAATGTATTTATTCAAGCAAAGTCACCTGCACATTCTGTTTGCTATACGAAATGTAAAAGTTATGACATGAGTAAGCACTTTAAGAACAGACAGTTGTTAAAACCAATCCAGGATAATACTATTCACAACACTGAACAGTTATTTTTATTCTTGACAAGAGTATCACTCCTTCCTCAAACCCATATGTCCTATTATCTGATCAGGATATCAGGATTCATTATCCTGCTTAGAGATGAGAATAATCTTATGGCTTATTATCCTTGTTTAATCCTTAATTAATAGGGATGAATAAGCATTTCTTTAAAATAACGTGACCTTTCCAATTCACAAGAGCAATTTTAAGATTAAGCAGTAAATCCAGGTATTCTCAACTCTCATCTCTTTGTGTCTTACTTCCAACATGATATGCTCAGCTGACTGGACCAGAACTGCACAGAGAATTCAAGATGGCACAAATCACAGGTTTAGAAAGTTGTGTAATGATTGTTACTATTTTACTCTTTACTACCTTTCCTAGTATTTTTAATGTGTTTTGCTTTTTTGACTACTAGTGATCACTCGACTGATGTTTTCTTAACAAAATCAACCAGAACTGTAAGATTTCACTCTTGACTGGAAATGTCAGCCCATCACTTCAATGTGAAGCTGTAATTGCTTATGTATGCTGAATTTCACCTGCCATTTTATTGCTTAGTCACACATCTTGAAAATATCTTCTGAAATTCTTCACTATTATAAAACATGGTAGTAGATCAATGTCAATTTTAACTTAGAGAGGGTTAAAGAGCAATAAGGTGTCAAGGCAAAAAACAGGAGTGTTGTCTACAGCTTCTTCGTTCTAACACACGTTGCCACAGCTTCAATAATCTGTTAAACCTAATATAAATCAATGACAAAGATCACTATCACACTTTCATTTCTCTTACCAGTCATGAGAGAGAGAAAAATTCCAAACGTAAATCTCCAGTTCAGAAAACTAAATGCACTGTAATTTGCATAAGAAGATTATAATATATGCAAATAAAGCATGGGGTTTTTTTGTTAACATCTCAGGGGGCTGAAATTTTATATTTCATAAAAGTAACCACTTAGATGTCTACAAAGCATTCTACAAATCTTGAACTACAAAAACTTTCACAAGAACATGGAAACAGATTTTATGCATTATATTTTATTATTGTAGATTTGACAAAAGAATCCAAACATTCGTGGTTAGGAACTACAAGGAATAAACCAACTTTAGGCACTGTATCCAGCATAAGCAGAGATAGCATTACACCAAGATCTTTCCTACAACTCCATGGAAAAAGTCTTAATATGTTACTTAAAAGCACGATTTCTCAAGCAACGAGAATCTGTTCATTAACAGGACAATGCTCAAGCTACCATAGTTACATTGACTTGGTCATGGGGGGATGATTACTAACACCGAATTAAATTGTGAAGAAACCAAGACGGCAAGAAAGCAGTGGCTAAACATATGTTTGGGGGAAAGCTTTGGAAGCACGAGAACAGAAAGGACTATAGCAATTTAAAAATGCTAAGGAAAAAAAAAAATGTTTCAAAAGCTGCAGCTCTCGACTGGAGATAAAAGCAGGTCTAGCCAACACTAGACTGAAACTCAGATGGGTTCTGTTTGTGAGAGGCAAAGACTTCCTGTCCATACCTGATATTTCCAGTGTTGATCAGGCAGAGCAGGAAGCTGTACTTGCTATTGAATGCATGCAGACTATTTTCTCAGGCTTTTGCCTGAGCTAGCCAGGTTGAAAGTGTGCTAGTTTGGTTTTAGCCAGTCCAAGGCACACATTGTTCTTTAAAGTTCTCCATTTGGTTTTTAAATTACATAGAATACCAGATGGCCACCTTTTAGACACAAGTAAGCAAGCCACAATGTGTATCACAGAAATAACATAACTATATTTTAAACCAACAATATAAAAATTACCTTAGGAAAAATTACCTTAGGAATAAAACTAAGTCAAAGAACTGTTACTGTTAAAATAGCATGAGTATGAAATTGGTCCAATAAGAGATGCTGCTTTTCAAACTGAGAACATTGAATTCAACACTCAGTTTATGAAACCTCTTGATACACTAAAAGGTTACAAATGTTTGTAATGATTGTACGTCCTCATTTTCTTAATTTCAGCTGAAGGCAACAGTATAAGTTGTCAAGGAAATGAACAACCTTAAGAAGGCTCAAGAATTCATATTTAACATCTCTTGCAAACGCAAAGTCCTCCCTTATTTAGCAAAATCACATAATAATTTAGCTTGCACTTCTTTAGTCAATAAGTTGCTGTTATATTACTTATTTAATACATATTACTTATTATTAATGGCCAACAGGTTTAATCATGAAGTGAAATATCTTTTCAGGATTGATTTGGATATATTACTTTTGATAATGAAATACAGTTTGCTCTCAGAGGTGAGAAGTACCACCTTGGAATATAAGACACACACAAGAAGAAATATTTGCCAAAAAAAAATACCTGCTTTCTTCAGGAAATACGTATGCAGCACTGCCATTGATCTGACAGGGTTCGTTGTCTTTATCTTGGTTTAAAGAAGCCACAAGAGCTATTCGGTTCTGCTGTATCTCCCACTGGCGTGCAATATTACAAATCGTTAACCGTTTCTTTTCCTGAAACAAGATATAAAAATCATAAAAAATTGTGACAGCGCAGTATCGACACACTTGTTTGTTCTGAAAGAAATATTCTGCTTAATCAAAACATTTTAAACATTTTACATTGAAGAAATGATAGTACTGGTTGGTAGTTACGCATTAAAACCAAGGCATCATTCTAGTGCTATTTTGCATAACTGCCAGCAAACAATGATTTCACAAAATTTGCAGTAACAGAAACAAGAAAAGTAACATAAGAAATCCACAACTTGTGAAAGAATAAAGTTAAACTATTTAGTTCGGATAACCACAGAAGTCTCATTTTGACAGTCTGGAGCTACTTGTAATACTCTTCCCACAAAACAGGGCAGTCTGCTTCTATTTTCCTCCATGCTGCTAGAGTAACCCTAGCACTTAAGCTAAGACAGTTATGCAACTGCTGTAAGTCTTAGCAGCAATTGCAACATACTCTCTGTGGGGGGGGGAAGTTATCTTCTGAAAAACGGAAAAAGTCAATTTTATAAAAACAGAAAGTGAAATTACGTTCCTGATAGACACAAGGACTAAACAGATCTAAGTACAAATATTTTGTAATAGTTTTTTAAAGTACTTTTTATATTCTACACAGGTCTTGTCAATGAGCCAGTATTTCAAAAGTCTATTAAATAATTGTTCTTGTACAGTCATGCAAATCCTGTCAATTACCTACAATTCTATATGTAGGTTATTATATTGTATCATATATTTGATTTAATATATCCCATTTAGCACACTTTAAAAGGTTAAAGAACAAGGTGCTTTGTAAGAGCTCATGGACTGGCAGCTGAACTCTCATCAAATGAAAACTGCACAATATAAATAATATCAAAGGGTAAATTAATTGCTAGTTTCACTTCATTTGGTTTTTCTGAACCAGATCTAATTCTCTGGGAGTCGCCCATCTCACTGTTACACTGCTCTTAATGAAACTCAAACAGGGACTTAGAATTTCTGAGAGGAAAATATTACAGAGGAGCTTAGCATAAAATAAATTTACATCCACAAAATACAGAGAAAACTAAGTGCCAGTCAAAGCCAACAATTTATCGGTTTATAATATCATACTCTAAATTGATGTTACTATAGAAATGCAGCTTTCAAGTCCATATGAATTAACAACCTTAAAGCTTCCCAGTCTTAGGAAGTATTAAAAAACCCATGGTATTCTAAGAATCCTTTGATTTCCCTTATATACTTAAGAACACCACTTTTGGAACTGGAATACAAACATCCTGATATTTTGGAATGGAGGAGGGCAAAAAGGCAAACCTGAATTTGCCCTAAGTAGTACAAACAGCAGTTCATAGGCAGCCTCTGTATTTGTCGCTAATTTTACCGATAAACAGGGGAAGGATAAAAGGTGCATACTCCTCAGATGTGCTAATGAATATTCTACTTCAATGCTATGAGATTTTGGATTGAAACAGCAAGTACTTGTTAGCTTCATGTTGCAATGATCTCAAATTGGGTCTAAAAGGACCTCAGGCAAGGTAAATCCCTGTTACCAATTATTTCCTTAGAGCATAAGCTCAACACCTTGATCAATTTCTTAACAGTGTTAAAAGCCTATCTAATACAGTTTTAAATATCATTACATTAGTTCCTGTCTGCTTTAGAATATTTTGTTAGGCTGATTAAGATACAAGAAAACACCACAATATTGATTAGGATTTAGAAGGCTGCACCAAAAGTCCTGAAGGCTAGAAAGGCTTTATTTGTTTTAAAATTGAAGATTGACATTTCTGTTTTAAGACAGACTCTATAGCTGGGAAAATCATCAGCACAAACCACAAAGTTTTATTATAGCCCTTTTTTCAAATAGGAAAAAAGAAAGATAATTTATATGATATGCCTATGGAGAAAGGCAGGGGACCAGGGTAAACCTAATTTTACAATTCAAAATTAACAATTTTGGTATATTAAATTTGACCTATACTCACTCCACCCCTAGGTTTTATATATAAAAGTAACATGTGACCATTACCATCATGTTCTTACATAAGTCCTTTCACAGTGGGAGAGTTGTGGACATCACTGCAATGTAGTTCACTAAGAATGTTCCCCTCAGTACTCAAGTGTTGGAGATATGAAGTGTAAAGCACTAGAAATTAATGCTGCTTTGAAAAATAGTAGATCAACAAAAAAAGCAAGCATTTCATCATCTGCAACTGCTAATTTATGGAGCCTAAGAATTCCTTTATTCCTTAAGAATAAAGAACAACTGCATATGTATGTTTCAGAGTAAAACATTTAATACCTACCTGCAAATCTGTCATGCTGCAGCTATTACACTGAGCATAAACACCATGATCTGTTTCAATGACTGATAATGCAGAGATAGATCTACTAGACTTTAAGTGCTGATAAACATTATGTCCATAATTGTCTACAATTGACACTGAAAGTACATGGAAACTACTTCAAAATTTTTCTTCTTCTGAAAGTTTTTCCATTTTAAAGAGCTCAAAACTCTATTTCACAGTCAATTTGCCCAAACAGTTATGATGTTGTCTGATTACAAAACACTAAACGCCCAACATTCACAGACTTCAGTGATGACTGTTCTCCATGTCACAGAAAGTAGGGGAAGTTGAAATAGTCAGCATTTTCCTCCAATCACATTTAGAAAATTCTGTTTGTTCTGGAGGGTGAGGGTCTCCACATAACCTCAACTACTGTATAGCTCTACGGCTTTCTTAGCCCTCAGCTGTGGGCTGCTGGATTCCTACAGAGCTTTGAAAACTTCCAAGAACTTTACAGAAAGAAAATTTTAGAAGTGTGAAGATTCTGCTAGCAGTAACTACTTCTTGTTCCAGTAAATAGTAAGTTCAGCCTCTGTTGGAAAGGAATTACATTCTCTGTACATTTTAAAGTACATCTCAAACTTTCCCAGAGGAGTGAGTTTTAAACAATAAGCAAACAGTCTGGAAAAAAGAGAGATGAAGAAACTCTGCTGTTAGGGCAGACAAATATCAGCAAGGGAAAAAAGAGATGACATTGCTGAAATTAACTTTTTTGATGCAGTGAATACAGGAAAACAGCAATTGTTTGCTACTGAATGAGTGCTTATAATTTTCACTTACAGTGCATATAGTTTAAGAAAGTTTGGAGGAAAGTGACAACAAGAATTGCAGAATATTATTCTCAAATTTTTTCTTCAGATTTAACTACAAAGAAAATCCTACAGTTTGCAACTTTTTTCACTGGACATTGTGTCTATGAGCAGATTTGTTCCTTTCTATTAAAATGTGTGGAACAGGAAAAAAGAAACCAGAATCATAACATACAAGAACATCTTTACAAAGACAAAATATACAAAATCACTGAATCATGCAAAAGATATTGGTATTTGGCTCTTATGCCACTTAATTACTTGAAGATAAGAAAGATACCTCAATTAAATTACAAAGCCTATAATTTAATGTTGAAATCTGAGTAGCAATGGCATTATATACTAAAAATATTTTTTTTTTCTTCTAAGGGAAGTTTCCATTAGCAAAATGCACTGAGAAATCTAGGCCATCAAGACAAACAATCCCTCTGCTACAAGGAAATATTACATTAATGGTTAAGAACATGAACTACAAATAAACACTTCCAATAAGCACCTACTTTTTTTCCAGTCCAGAAAAAAAAAGGGGGGGGAGGGATGACACAACACAGCAAAAATCCCGTAACACTGCTTAAAAAAAAAAAAAAAAAAGACTGTATCTAACACTTTTTTGTTATATTGATTTTTTTTTTTTTAAAAACAGAAAATTAAAATATACATGGATACAAATATATAGGAAATCAAAATACATTCTCAGGCACTAGACATGGAATCCTTTTTTTTCCCCCATTCATATATTTAGGTTCTTGGGATTTTTTTATATACTTAAAACTTCTTATATTATATTGTTAACATTCTATTTGCGTCTTTTTATTTTTCAGAATTTCATACATTTGCTACACTTCTTACAGCCTCCTGCAACTACTGCTACTTGCAGTCTAATCCCCTTCATGAAATACGATTTTGCCTAGGCAACTTAACAATATGGATACCGGAAAATTTTTTGTTTGTGTTTTTGACTGCCAAATTGAAAGAGCTTTTTGTATAACCATTACTGGATGACAAGAAGTTTTAGGCACCTTTTTTCCTCCAGAGAAAAATGATTTGGAGACAAATGGCAATATTCACACAACAAATGGAATGCAGATACTCTTAGATCCTTGAACTTTGGTCTCCTATTAGCAACATAGGTCATTTAGTCACCAGCCCCACAAGAGTATTCTGGAGTGCACCTCAGTCTCCCCTGTTAGAGCTATTCCATCTCATGTATATAAGCATTAACCAGGCCAGGTGGTCTGGTAGATAAGTGTTCTTCTGAAAAAGATGACAGCTGGAGTCTAGCTGCTGCTCTGACTGCTTAACTCCTTCTACAAAAAGGAACAACTTCAACAGGAAAGAATGAAGGAAAAACTACTTCAGAACACCCTGCATGGCAGCAGTTATAGAGCACTCACCTGAAATGGGGGAGACCAAGTTCAAGGAATTTGAAATCACTGAAAAGTCCTTTACTTTACTCTGGATTTACTTTATCTCTGGATTTGTGAAAATGAAGCTTGCCATCCTTTTACATATATCACACATACATTCAACTGGGGTTTTTTGCTACAATATAACTTGCATAGTTGACTGAAGAAAGTTTCAGTTGTGGAGTGCACCGTTTAAGCTGTAAAAGAAAAGTTTGAAGAGAGAGAGGCATATTGGGATACGTAAGAACTAGAGCAGAAAATGTTAGGATATAGATTATTGCTGCAAACTGGTTTATAGTAGGCTTAGAACAGCCATAGAAAATACCTTAAGTAAGGTCTGTTTATGGCTTTCACGCTTCCTTTCTTCCTCTTTCCTTGCTGCAACAGATGCCATACGTCTTTCTTCTTCCTGGATTTAAAAAAAGAAAAACAGCTTCATAAAAGGAGAAATTAATCAGGTTCTGGAAAGTATTACTGATAAGTTATTAATATATTTTTAAGATTGTATTTGAAACGCAATTTTTAATTTTAATACAATTTTAGGATTTTTAACATTTTAATGTTTCTAAACATTATTAAAAGCAATAAAATTGGTAATTATAAATAAATCAAGAAATACAGAAGAAATAGGTATCTACTCAGATGCAAATGCTGAAGATAAAGCCATTTTTAAAACTAGCATTTGTAAAGGTCTTTGAAAAAAGTATAAAGCATATGGCGAGCATGACAGCGAAAAAGAACATTTTAAAATAAAACAGTGCATTATATCTTTGTATCTTTGTAATAGTTTTTGCAATTCATAGGATTTTTTTGTAAGAAAAGACAGAGTGAATGAGCTAAATTCTATTTTTGCTCAAATCATAATCTAAGATTGATTTTTACCATTATAAGCTGTTTCCAGGGGCTTACTTTTCTCAATCAGCAACAGAACTTGAGAAGAAAAGGATATTTTCAAAGTTAACTATAGTATATTAACACTATTTCTCATCAATACTATTACCTATACAAGAAGCTTCAAGAAGAAAGCCATTGATTCCTAAATAATGAAAGCCACATAAGTAAAGGTGCTTAATTTTCCTGGTACAGCAATTTAATGCTGCAATACACCCATATTAGGTTGAATGCTCCTTGTTTACAGAAGTCTAAACATTCTCACAGCATGGTATTTTTAGAACTTATATTTTCCAAGTAACAAAAGAAATGTTCACTATGAAGTGAAAAGTGTAGAGTCCTTCCAACACAAATATTTGGGAAGCATACTTTAACTTATTTTGATTTACTTCACTTGCCATTTCGGTGTTTCTATTAAAGTATCTTCCCAGAACATACAGAAAGTGTTTTGATTTCCCTCAAAATAGAAAGCTCCTGTCCTAACCTTTTCACTTTCCAGGAAGCAATGTGTTAAGAAAATTAACAAATAAAAATGAACAGAAAACATCATCAACCATGAAGACATATTGATATGTCAAAGTCTCTATAGACATAAAACGTACTATGTTTAGAGCCTTGTAAGAACCCCTAAGCACACGGGTGACTGCTTACTGGACAACGAAATAAAACAGGAACTTCAAACTTAGCATGGCTATTACGTATTTAAGAAAATAATTTTCAAAGCATAAGAAGTTAGGTTCACATAGCAAACTTACTCTTATATGTGTACAGCCCCCCTGAAACTCATTGACATATCATGGATTTTGACATCAATCTGAAAGGTGATTAAACAACAAACTTCCAAATTGTTCCTCCATGACAGTAACCTAATATGCATGTACTAAACAAGAGGAATAGCTTAATGCAGATTAAGGCATGAGGCTTTGGATAGAGAAAGCTTCTCTAACCCAACTGCATGCAAGAATTTCCCTGGCACACTAATTGGAAAGCCTTTTTCCCTTTTTTTTTTTTTTCCTTTTTTTTTTTTTTTTTTTTTTTAAAAGCAATTCTTTTTTTTTTTTTTCCTTTTGTTTTTTTTTTTTTTTCTGAAAGCAACTTCTGGCCTTTTGAGGGTGAAGTTTGGTTGGCGGCCTCCTCTGCTACTGGGCTTTTCAGTTCTTCCTAAACAAGGCATTACCAAGGGGCTGGTGTCATAGAATTACAGAATAATCCAGGTTAGAAGGGAACCTCAAGGGGTCATTAGTCCATGTTGAGGATCAGCAATAAATAAGTAATTAAATAAAACCACACACAGATACAGGCAGCCTTCTAGATCCCAATACAACAAAATACTACACAATTAAACCCAACACCTGAAAGGGAAGGTTCAGGATGAGGTTGTGAAAATCATTAAGTAAACCTCATGCAGACAATATGCCACAAATATGAATGTGTAATTAATAATGCAAACCAAAAACGTACTGTTCCTCAAGATATGATTAAAAGTGTTAAGAACTACAAACATGATTGTCATGACAGCCGTTTACCCCAATTACGTTACAGCATACTAAGTTTGTGTTTACTTAAAAAACCCTGAAGTCTTAAAATAAAACATAAACACCAAACTACATTAGTGGTATCTTTCTATAAAAAGTGGGTTAGACTTTTTTTTTAATTTATTTTCTAATTAAATCTCTTCATTTGACCTTACATTTATGCTTTTTAAGTTGGCCTCCTAAAGAAACAAGCTGTTTACAATTTCAGTGTCTTCATCTCCTCTAATGACTTTTCAACACATTGAACATATTAAATAACTTAAAGTATGTTTAGAAGTCTCAAATTAAGTGGGTTTTTTTTGTTCCCTAGAAGTTTGATTATATAAAATTGGTATGTAGAAAGAAGATAAATGTAAACTAGTTTTCCCACCAAGGGAGAGGAAGCAGAAATTATCCATTCTGCTTGGCAGAAAACAGCTGGCCAGTCAGACTCGGCTCCAGACTAACTGAGGTACTGTGTTTTGCACTGGGGAAGGTGAGAGTTAGAGAACAAAATGACACTAGTGTACAGGAAGTTAGCCTTCATTAATTTTAGTTCTTTCAAAAACAACTTAAGTTTTCTTTTTTTTCACCCCAAGCTTTACAGCGAACATCCACAAAGTTCCCTAATTCAGTTTTCTCTCAGCTTCCACAGATATCTCTTCTTACTCTATCTTCCATCTCAAAGCCTTCCTTTAATCCAGCCCAAATGCATACTTTATGACACCGTCTTCCATACGTGAAGGTCTACTGCTCTCATTCAAGTCAGTCCAGCACTTTGCCTGCCAACATAGTCTCAATAGAAAGAATGAAACAAACTAATGCAAATCATATTCTAACAAGTCTTTTATTAACTGAATAAGACTTTTTTTCTTGATCAAGAGTTTATCCTAATTACAGACATTTAAATACTACTATTTCTTTTACAGAAGAAATTAGCTCATCCTGAAAAGAAAATATATCCTAGTTTTACTCACTATTCATAAAGGCAGAATGACAGAGAACACATCTGAATAAAGATCAATGGCCAAATCTGCCTTTTATGGAAATCAAATCCATACACATTTCTTGATTAATCTTAGACAATACATGCAATCAATCTTGAAAAACACAATATCCCCCCAAAACCCCACAAAAATAACCCCAGAAGGCCCACGAAGTTTTAAAACAAAGCCCTTAATAACATTGCCACAATTCATTTTTACTATCACCCCTTCTCCTCTTTTAGCTCCAGCTCTTTTGAAATTCTTCCCATCTCCCTTTTTGTTTGTTCCCCCCTCATTATTCTGCTGCTATTGTCCATAACTCTGTTTTGTTTTTAAACCAAACCCTGCTGGACAAAGTCCATGCTTTTCCAGAAGGTCGAAGTGCCAGATCATTACAGAAGGACTTGGATGTCCTCTTGTATATTGAAATCTCCTCCATTTATCAGTTCTCCACTTCCCATCTAAAAGCCTACTAAAAGGCTAAGAAGCCACCTTCACACACACAAAAAAAAAAAGAGAGAGAAGAGAGGAAAAGTAAAAGAAGAGGGAATATACTTCCTAAAGAAGTAGTCGTCTCACTTTCTGTAATGAGATTTTGAGGCTGCAGGTTTACATTCTCAGTGTAAAGCAACAGTAGCCACAGAACACAAGAAGAATAAGGCGCATTAAAGCTACTACCACCCTTATAAAAACTTTCCATTTCAGCCATAACAGAACTTATCTGTAGCTTTGGCATGCTGATAGCTCCCCCTGCTGCTACCTGGGCGCTACCATAACTGTAACACCACAGATTCTGGCCAAACCTACCATGGGATCATCAGTCCTTCAAAAGAGGTAACATGCCGCAAGACCCGAAAAGGATCCCAAAGAGACCATAGTGGAGTGCATGTATTCTTCCTCACTACTGCTTTACTATTATTCAAACAAGTTGTTCTTCAAGAAATGATACCATTTAAGTCACAGGAGAAAAAGATGCCAAGTTAGCACACAAGCAATGCAGCATTTCATTTCCATGGTACATCTACCTTAAAATTATTCAAATAATTATACTATAGATTAGAAACAGCTATAGCACATTTGATATAAACTACGCAATGAAAAAAATGGAGAATATGAAGACTGGACTGGAATATACATTCAAGCTTTCAAGGCATAAAGAGACTCAACACAGTACACTTAAAATACACAAAATTCAGCTCACTTATACTTGCAGAAGGCAGACTACTTTTTGTTATGTATACCACAGAGGCCAATTTTACACAAGAATGAACTACAAATGTAAGGATGTTTCTAGTAGAAATACAGCATGGAAAGTAACAAGTACAAAATTTTTTGACTAATCATTCTTTAAGTGATATTTGACAAGTGAGATATATCTCTGTTTTTCAGTTTTAGTATTAATTTCGTATATTTTTCGTAAGACCTGATTTAAGAGAGAGGACTACAATCCACAAGAACAACTCTAGAACTTCCTGAAGAATCTTATTTTCAAGTGGAAAGAAACAAAAAGTTAGGTATCCTTCCCTAAAAAAACAGAACACTTCATGGTGGTGATGGAATCGATAACAAATTCTATTCTGGATTAAAGCAGTAGAACCTACTCCCTGATCAGCAGAGAAATATCTAAGCAAATAATCAAAACCAAACACAGCTCTCTTACTTTAAGCATCCAAAACCTATAAAACCTCAATGAAAAGAAGCAAACTTTTACTGTTAAAAACACACAGCTTGTCTTTCAATTTGGGAACCACAGCACATTTAGAAAAATATATATACACATTGTATATTATACACACACATACATAAACATACATATACATATATATATCCCCCTTAGCAAATTCTGTTGAGAAAGTGTATTTAAAGATATGGATAGCAAGTGTTCTTGGCTAAATAATTTCTCAGTAAGGAATATGTAGACATTTCATTCATATTTTAACACATATCTGCAGACAGTATCTGCTTGCTGTTACAAAAGACTGGAGGAAAAAAAAGATAGATCACAGCTAAACTGTAAG